ATCTATCTATCTATCTATCTATCTATCTATCTATCTATCTATCTATCATCTATCATCTATCTATGCAGGTCTTGGCATGTTCAGGTCTTTTCCCATGTAAGACTGAGAGTATCTTGGTGATGTTACAACGAGGTCCCACTCACCATCTTCAGGCTGGTGCTTTCGGCTTCGTACTTGTGTGAGCAAAGCGTGATTGGAGCCGCTGTCTCTATAAATACTGGTGGGGAGGTGTGGTGTGCTGGCTCTGTTGTAAGCGGGCTGGTTGGCTGTGTTGTTATTTCTTGATTGGTTGATGGAATTGATGTTTGCAGATTGGTTGGCTTTTTCATAAGAACATGTGTGGCTGAGGTATTGGCTGTGTGTCTATCAGCCTCCTGTGTTGTAATGACCTGGGTAATGGGCTGTGTGATGATCTTCTGAGTTCTATTGTTGTGACATCCTGGGTATTGTGCTGTAATCTCCTGAGTCATTGGCTGTGTTGTAACATCCTGAGGTTTTGTGGTGTAACCTCCTGAGTTTCGTGATGTGATATCCTGAGCGGGTGGCTGTGATGTCATGTTCCGGGTTTTGGTTTGGCTCCGAGTTTGAGGCCTGGCTATGTGTTCATGGCGTTCAGTTTGCTATCTGTCTGTCTGTCTGTCTATCTATCTATCTATCTATCTATCTATCTATCTATCATCCGTCCATCCATCCACCCATCCATCCATCCATCCAAGAATTAGGTAATTGCAAACTGTCCAAAATGACATCATCTCTTTGCAACTGATTGTTTAATACAATTTAGGTACCATTCTCATAAAAATCCAATACAAAACTCAAACAAGTGGGGCTCTGGGACTGTTCACAGACAACAAAAAGAGTAACATAAACACCCAGGATCTTATCAGTCTATTTTACAAGAGCAAAGGGCAAGAAATATGTGAGAAAAAAAAATCTATGCTGTTTGTCAAGAATCTTTGCTGTTAAGAGATAAGAAATATCTTGTCTTTGGTGCTTCAGACTTTATTACAACTTTCCCTGTCTTCAAGATGTAATTTAGATAAAAGAATGTATTTTTTTTCTTTCCTCTTAATAAATCTAGCTTTTTATACAAATACTATGAATGTCCATTAACACTTACTTATAGCTGGGCTATCTCTACATCCTAGATAAACTTGTGGATATTTTTTAAAAATGGGATATGTTTTATATTCTACTACTTAATTACTCAGTATTCTTTCAACCCTCTGGTTGTGTTCAAGAGCATATTACTGACCAAGAGTTCCTGAATTCATATCTCCAGCACAAATCACCCACACCTTGTACCTGATTTAATGAAGTCTTAAGCTGCAGAGAATTATATAAACACTATTTTTAAAATATTCTGATTTTTATGTAATTGAATACATTTTTTTGGCAAAAGATTTGTTGTGAAAGAAAGTTACAAAATCTTTTGTAAGCCAGGATTTATATACTTACTTCTTAGAAGGCTCAGATAGCGGGTTGTTGGATACTGATGCCACAAAGTTAGGAGAAGACCCCATGGCAAAGCAATCAGAAGTGTGGTGAGAAGGTTACGTCTCCTCAGCATGCTGCAGAGAACTTCCACTGATTGGGCATTTCCCTACCTTCCAGAGGAAAATATGGTTTTTAAAAGTGAGATAACTACAAAACATACAAAATGAAACAGGGTTTTCACTGGGTTGAGTCAATAGGTTCTAACACAGGATTTGCAAATATGGTGCCAGTTTTCAAAGCAATTGATTTTACTTTGTGATCTAACATGGTAGTTTTTTCTTTTGAATTAATTAAAATAGTAAAAATACAATAATGTAAAAAAGGAAAAGAAATAAACATAATCCTAAATTATGTTTAGAATTCTAACTATGCGAAAATGGCATTCAGCTTTTGCATGGTACAAATATAAGATTAAACCAAAATATGGTTGAATTATTTTTGGTTTAGCTTGATATATACAGAAGCCATGTGTTAAAACTTCTAGCTGTAATATGCATGTATACTGTGTGTATAGCTTAAAAATAATGCAGCGGTAACGAGCAAATGAACACACTTGTTTTATGAGCAACAACCATTGTCTCAAATAATCTTTTCAACCTTGCTCCAAGATCAGAAAGGAAATGGCAGGGAGAAAACATACAAAAGCAATGGAAGGTAGGAAAAATAAGAGAGGATGAACATTTTTAGTTCTTTCCATCATTTCTTGTAGTATACAGTACATTAATGCTTTTCTAACAATCTCTTCTCTGTACACGTACACTTTGTATCATAGTAATAATGCCTGGGATTGAGATATTTGGGGTTGATGGATCAAAACAGGTCAAAAGTAATTGGATATCAAAAATAAGGGTCACTATTCAACTAAAGTAATTTATTCCACATACCACTCTAAACCCTACATTCCCATCTCCCTCACAAAATCAGTGACCTGATTTGAGCCTATAGCATAATAGTAGTAATATGTTGTTATCCACCACTCTACTTTTAAAAACAAAACAAAACAAAACAAAACAGAGACACTGCACTGTAATGGTTCAGGGATTGGCCTCCATTATGCAGTGTTTTCTCAATTTTGAAAGTATGGACATGAAGAGAGGGCAAGAGAGGAAAATGATAAAATGAACATTGTGACATTGTGATGCAAGTGCTGTCCCTTGTGTAAATACATTGTGTATTCATGCCCATACGTTTTTGATGAAACTGTCTGATTTTGTGGATACCTCTACAAAAGGCTACACAAACAAAAAGTTTTATGTGTTGGGGCAGAGGGGGAAGTTCGTCCGGTTGGACAGATGATACTAGAAGTAGAAAAATACATGGAGATGAAGTGATTACTAATTCTATTCAACCATAATCCATGTGCAAAATATGTGATTCAGAACCCCAGCACTTAATCTGCATTGCACTGTTGCAAATGACACTCACCAGCAATCCGTCGCAGCAGAGGGCATGCCTTGACACAAATTGCTCTGAGAAACAGGAAGAGGCTGGCAGATCCCTAGTCCCTTGGCTTTCTTGGAATCAGCTGGGATTTGAGGTTCCCTGAGAATTTCTTCAAGTGCTAAGTATGTATATTTAGCAACTTCTTTGCAGCCTGCCTTCCACATTCCTGTCAAGTAGAAGCTGTACCTCTGGAAGAGACACAGAGTATAATCCTCTGTATAAATTCAACTGCCTTCAAAGGAATCGCGCATCTGGCTGTAATCATAGTTCTTATGAGCTACAGAATAACATTTTGTTCATGCTAGAAGAAATATGATATTATAGACATCCCACATAAAGTGCAAAACTATGGGTATTACTGCTGACTTCTCTCAATTCCTTCCTGGCAGTCTGCTTCATAGACACAAAAGTCTATATAACAATAAAGTCTATACTATCTTAGTAAAAGAAAGGAAAATATATGATATTACGGAGGTTTCTAAATTCTGTAGGGCAGCTAGTTAATCTCAGAATCTATTGCCCATCAGTTATGAAGCTCAAGCTAACATTCCCCTTGTGTCGTATTTCACCCACTACTAATTAATACTTAACAGTCTTGATATTATAGACTAAAATAGAAATAAACACACAAAAACTGATTTGCTAGCCCTGATCATAATGCAATTTTATTCTTTTAAAATGGAAATACAGGAAAAAAAGATCTTAGCTGTATACACATGCACACATGCACACACCAAACCAGAAAGGGGAAAAAAGATAGCAAAAAGACACACACAAGAGTTAAATCTCATTTAAGAAAGCTTATTTCTTAAAACCCCCCCCCCAAATTTTGATTACCCAAAGCAATAGTGAGCACACTTCCCATTATGTCAATTTAATATTCTTCACATATAGAGAATGAGTATATCTTTAAGCTTTTTTAAAAATCAGAAATAACACAGTATTTCCATCAGAGCAAAGTAATATTTTTAGTTACAGACTTTGCATAGCAAACCGTTTTATACTGTTATGAGCACATTCTACTTCACATTTTAAACTCCTTAAATCAAGGCTATAAGAATAAAATGGAGTTTTTGTGCCTTGATGCTGCATGCGTTCATTTTGAATTAAACACAATTTCCTTCTGCTAGTTAGTTTCCCCCTGCTTGTTAGGGACTACTGGGAGTTGAAGTCCACATTTCTTAAATTTACCCAATTTGAGAAACATTGTGTTAAATTAACTGACAGCACCATGAGACATCAGTGCAAAACACAAAACAGAACAAAATTCAATGGATGCCTCTTTCTTAAATTGTTGCTGTTCCTGAAATAGTTATTTCTGAGTAAGAACCTTGGTAGGGAACCCATCTGACTGCAAAGACACCCTTACTTGTTTTATTATTAAGAACTAATAATATGTAAAGCCACAAGGATAGCATACTGGCCTTTTGGCATCTATTTTTTGTAGTAGGTATAAGCATGGTTTGTTGTTCTAGTGCAGAGCTGTCAAACTCCTGGCCCAGAGGCTGGATGCATCATGCGCTGGCCATGCCCACACCCGATCTAGCAAAGGGGAAAAGTCCCGATACATCATGTGACACCGCCATGATGATGTGAATTTGTTACCCCTGTTCTGGTGGCAGGAAAGAACGCGACTAGAATTGTGTTGTGTTGACCTCTTGTATTTTTTGGGAACTGTTCCAGGATGTGCAGTAGCCCAGTCACAGCCATAGGGCTGGGAGTGAAATTGGCAAGATTTCAGTTTGTTTCCTCATTTTCTTTGACAGTAGTATAAAGTGCCAAGTTGCTGCTTGCTTTTGTTTCTATTTCCTAGCAAATACCTTGACATCCAGACCTTGGGTTCTCAGTAAGTAATTGACTGCCTGTCCCAACTGAAAGCTGTACAGTGTTAAAATCTGCAGATGCATCCCCGTTCAAAGATTTCCCTTGTGTCACAAGTCCCTCTATTTAATATGTGGAAGAAAGAATGCAACTCCTTTGGCAGCAAATACAGTCCCCAATCTCAATACAGTCAGGAAATCTATAAAGATTCTTTGTCAGATTTTTAATAGTTAGATTTGGGGTGGGTTTTTTTTGTGTCCCCAGTCAATTTTATTAAGGTCACAGACCAAAGTTTAATTGCATTTCTAACTTTTTATATTATGCTTTAATGCCAATCTTTTTCAGCTGATTTAAATAATTTTTTCAGCTGATTTTTTTTTTGCCATAATAGGAAGGTTACTGGGGATTTTTTTAGTAGTATGGAAAAACAGTGAATATAATTCTATACAATCATAGGAGATGAATAGTCAATAATCAATGTAATTGTGGAATATAAACGGGCCCAGGGATTAAGAGATGGCATGGATTCTAAATGATAGAAGAGATTTGGAAATGCAGAACTAGAAACTTTTCAGCACTTTGCTCTTTTTTTGAATATTCTTTTTCCTTTCCTTTTTTCCCCCTTAAAAATCTTCCCAAAATAAATAGTTGTTTCATGGCTAGGAACCTTTAATAACAACAGCACATGATGGATGCCTTCAATATGTTGTATACGAGCTTCTCGAGCCAACTTCTGATTAAAACATGTCCTTACTTAATTTCAGTCATTGATCCTCCATTACATTTTACACAGACTTTCTATGGCAGGATCAATAATTAAAGGTTTGAATTTCAACCTTAGAACAGAAACCTGATTTTAACTCCAAGCCTCCTTCAAAAAAAATGTATTCAGGTAATATGTATCCATGGGGATAGTGTGTTTGCTAATAACAGACATATAAGAAAGGATTAAAGTAAGGAAAAATATTGAAAAATGTTTCAAAAATTTGGTTGATGTGACCATCCAAGTTTAAAGTCCAGAGGAATATAAACTGAATTTAAACTGTGTACTGTATGCTTAAAATGCACGAGATGAAACTGCAGTGTGTGAAATGCTGCCCCAAATGATTTTATAGGGGTCAGTTTATCAAGTCCCTCACAAACAGCTAAGTATTGGCGTGAGCATCCGGAGAGAGAGGCAAGTGATAACATAACATGCCATAATAAAGATTTGATTTGATGATTTGTTGATCCAAAGCTGCATATTTGTGTGTGATAAAAATATGTGATCATTTCCCTCAATGTCATTTTTAGCAGGAACTCCAAAATAGCGCCTACCGCACTACAGTTCACTGAAAGCTCACCTTTTAAAATGTTTGTTTCTTAAAGGGTAACTCAGACTTAAAGTGCAAGAAGAGAATGAGAGAATGAATGCCTTTCATAAAAACGTCATGACATTTTGTTATGCTCATAAAAAAATGAGAAATCTGCTAGATGTTTAGTAAAAAATTTTTTTAACGGTTTCATTCACTGTTTAGTTTTACCAACATACTTTTGCCATAGTACTATTTGTCAGCAATGACCATGATGTATATTTTTTTTCCAGAAGAGTAAGAAATAATTGTTCTAAGTTTTATACAGGTAGTCTTCAACTTACAACAGTTACTTTAGTGGTTGTTCTAAGTTACAATGACACTGAAGAAAGTGATTTAAACCCATTTTTCATATTTATGACCATTGAGGCATTTCCATGGTCATGTGATCAAATTTCAGATGTTTTGCAACTGACTCATATTTATGACAGTTGTAGTGCCCTGGGATCATGTGATCACCTTTTGTGACCTTCTGACAAGCGAAGTCAATAGGGAAGCCAGACTCATATAACAATTGCTATTAACTTAACAACTGAAGTGATTCACTTAACAAATGTGGCAAGAAATGGAGCAAAATTCACTTAACAAATGTCTCACTTAGTAACCAAAAATTTGGCTTCAATTGTGGTCGTAAGTTGAGGACTGCCCATGTATTGATCTAGGATAATTTTTCATGACCAACTCACCAAGGCCAACTTACTGCAGGACAACTTGTCATTGCCAACTCACTGCGGGACAAGAGTTATCGTAATATTAAGAAAATGGTGGAATGGAATCATTAAAGAAAGGATGCAAGAGGAAGGACAGAATGAAATGTGAATGACAAAAATTAAAATATTTTTTTACTTATTTTAAATAATTAAATTTAATTAAATAATTTAAATTTAAATGTTAAATTATCCTGTGGCGAGCTGTCTGTGGTGAGTTAGCTGTGGTGAGTTGTCTGGTTTATAAAAGAAAATCTGAAATACTATTTTTTTATAGCCAAGTAGGTAGTGGCTTGAAATGTTAGAACAATGTAAGATTGCAAAATCTAAATTCTACGGTCATGATACATGTTAATTTTTTTTAGGGACATTGGTATCCCATCACCCTTTTTCCTATTACAGCTGCTATATCTTGACTGAGCTGGGGCTAATATACTACTCTTCCTTTACTTTTTTCATACTAATATAAAAATTAGTATTAATATACCTGATTTGAATTAATTAAGTCATTTTTTTTCTTCTAACAACCACATCGATTTTCTCCACGACAATCTATCCCTAAGTTGATCTTTCAGGTCTCGTAGTTGTGCACTCATCACTGTAACCAAGTCTGGCTGTTGGTTGTCCTTTTCTTCTCTTTCCTGACACCTTTCCCAGCTTTAAGCCTTTTGCAGAGAGCTGGGTCTTTGCATAATGTGCCCAAAGTAGGATACTTTGAGCCTGGTCATCTGTGCTTTAGGTAAGAACTCTGGGTTGATTTGTTTAATGACTCACTGGTTTGTTTTCGTGCCTATTCACAGTATTCTCAGGAGTTTCTCCATAACAAAGTTCAAAGAGATCAATACTCTCCCTGCTCTGCTTCTTTAAAGTTAAACTTTGACTTCCATATGTATCATAGGAATACCATAGCTTCCATGATTCTGATCTTTGTAGGTACAGAAACACCACAACATCTGAATATCTTTTCCAAGGTATTTCTTGACTGCTTGTCCCTTTACTGTTGATCGTTGATCCTAAAATCCATTCACTATCCATCACTTCAGTTTCTTCACTGTCAATTCTAAGTCTGGTTGTTCTACCTTAATTAGGTCTTCTAATCATGTCTGCAAATTAATCCTTAAATTTATCCAGAGCCTAGTAAATATGCACTGAAATTTGCTGCATATTGGCCTGGTAGCATTTTCTACAGCTTCTTTGTTCAGTTCTGAAAAATATTGAGGAAATCCATGCAGATTTCATGAATTGCTGCTGACATGGAAAGATACAAATGGGTGGCAAGAAGTCCTTGGTCCATTATTGATGATGCTG